TATATATATATATATATCCTCTTCGCGATTTCGCAAGCATACTTTCACGTGTCAGGTCTTTTTCTTTCTCTCTCTTTCTTTCTCTCCTCTCCTTCGAATCGCGCGCCTGTTCACCCGCGTCGAAACACACTTCCCCACACCCACGGTCGGTGAAACGTTGCCTATTACGCTCGTTCTACGACAAAGGCCACCACCGCTCCAAATCGAGTTTCCACGCGGCGAACGTGGCGGGAAAATTAAAAGTGACTTTCCTTTCGCGCGATGCAAATTCGCTCGGCGGACGATCTTCAACGATGCGACTGTACGGATTCGTTCGTGCAACGATGCATTCGGTTACGAGTTTCTTGGAATTGATTAATTGGAAGATTAACGAATCAATTAACGAGAATTATCGTCGAGCATTTACGTCAGAGGAGGGAAGGTTTTTTTTTTTTTATCTTAGCCGCGAGAAATATGACGAGGAAATTATTATACGTTAGCGCTAATGGAGATCAAGGATTTATCGATAGCAGACGATTTTTGATGATTGAAACGATATTGCGAAGGAACGATTAATGCATTCGACTAACGAGAATCATAAGAGAATTCGAATTCGAATTAACAATGGATCGAAGGTTTTTGTAATTGAGTAAAATATTCGAATATATTCGGTAGATGAAATTGAAATATGAATGTGAAAGATATATCTCGATCTTGAATAATTGTTATGAAAATATTGCAAAGAAATGACGAAGAAGTGTAATGAATATGATATTCGAACGATATTGCATTGAAGTCTATCAAGAGTCGATCAATCAAAATTTAATTGGAACAAGTATTACGAAGAAGTGATCAGTGATTGTTCAATACGATATTTGCGCAATTACACACGAAAGATTAACTCGAATCATTAGTAAGAATCGATGGGTTGGACATGAATGCGACGTCATGACGCCGTTCCAGAGCTAAAAATAGCTCGGAACCGAGCAGTCACCAATGATCACGAGTTTCGTCGCTTCTAAGGCACGCCCTCGCCTCTTCTTTAAAATCAGTAGTTAATGTGCTTATATATTATCGATAATGTACACAGGGTGTCTCAAAATGATCTGGTTTAATCTAATATAGTGTTAAGGAAAGTCGCAAATTTTTATTCTATTTTTCGAAAAAGAACAAAATTTTATCTCAAATTTTACTTCTCTACTCGCTTTTGCATACAGAATTACATTCAGAAAACGAACTTCCATCTTTTCTACCCACATTTGCATACAAAATCACTTTCTAGTAAGACACTTTGTATATCAATAAGATACACGAAAAAAAGAAAGTGTATTTCGACCGATAATTTCAAGAAACTAACTTCTATTCCACATCTTCTTACCACATTTATATATAGAATCACATTATAGTAAAACACCCTGAATACCAATAAGCCACACGAAAGAAAAAAAGGTAAAAATTCAAAAAACTTCTATCTTCTCTCCTATCCACATTTGTATACAAAATCGCTTTGTAGTAAGACACCCTGTATACCAATAAAGCACACGAAGGAAAAAAAGATATTTCGACCAATAAATTCAAAAAACGAACTTTCACCTTCACTGCCCACATTTACATAGAGAATCACTTTCCAGTAAGACACCCTGTATACCAGTAATAACATTACCTACGAAAGAGAAAAAGGTAAACTATGATTTCGATCGATAATCTAAGGGAAAAAACTTCTGTTCCATCTTCTTACCTCAAATTTGCATACAGAATCGCTTTGTAATAGGACACCCTGTACATCGAGAAGGCGGGCGAAGGAAAAACGGTGTGTTTCGAGCGATAACGCAGCTGACTCGAGAACGGTGCTCCCTTTGTCCCGTTAATTGCATCGATTCTGACACACGGGGCCACGCAAGCCGATCGTATCTCGTACAACGAATACACAAAGGAGCGGGGCCCGCCACTTCTTCGAGGCCGTGGATCGTCGCGATAATCGGCAGAGCGCAGATACCCTCTTCGCGGAAC